GTGGGAGTAAATGAGATCATCCAGGGCAAGTGTATAGTGTAAGAAGAGTAAAGGTTGAGGACAAAACTCCAGGGAATACCAGTACTTAAAGGGTTGCTGAAAGAAAGGAGTCCCACAGGGACTGAAAAGGGGATGCCAGAAAAGTAGGAGGAAAAACTAGGAGAGAGTGCCATCAGGGATGCCAAAAATTTGACCAATTTAGGAGATAGGGTATGGCCAACAGTGTCAAATGTTGCAGAGACTGTAGTTCATTTGATTTGGCAACACAAAAGTATTGGTGAACAATTGCATTGTTGAGAGTTAAAAGATTAAATGGCAAATATGAGAGCCGGGCCACAGTTGCCCATGACTTTTCCAAGAAATTTGACTCTGCTAGGGGGAAAAATAGAGTCTTATTTTATTTTATTTATTTTATTTTATTTTATTCTATTTTATTTTGAGACAGAGTCTTGCTCTGTCACCCAGGCTGGAGTGCAATGGCACGATCTCGGCTCACTGCAACCTCTGCCTCCCGGGTTCAACCGATTCTCCTGCCTCAGCCTCCCGAGTAGCTGGGGTTACAGGCATCCTCCACCACGCCTGGCTAATTTTTTTTTTTTTTTTTGTATTTTTTTTTTTTTTTTTGTATTTTTAGTAGAGATGGGGTTTCACCACTGACCTCATGATCCACCCGCCTCACCTCCCAAAGTGCTGGGATTACAGGCGTGAGCCACTGCGCCCGGCCAAAGAGAGTCCATTTTTAAATGCTAGAAAGGGATAGCAGAGCTGAGTGTTAGAAAACCAGAGCCTCCTGGATTTACCAGGGCTGTGCCATTATTTTCAGAGGCATTCATAGCTAATGACAAAGTAGACAGTGAACTACTACAAGGCAGAACTGGCTGCCTTGCTCATCTCTTGCCCACAATTATCACTTTCCAAACTGATGAGAGACTATTCCTGAGATACTTATGATGGAGGTAGTTGGGAGGTCCTGGTGGGGAAGGATTACATAGAAGGAAGAGTAGTTATAAATGTTTGAACTTGTTACCATTTAAACTGTGATTATAGAAGGGGTGAATGGAGTTAACCACCGCTCACCATAGTCTTGGTGAGGGATGGTTATGTTTCTCCTCACCTTGGTCTTGTCTACACTGTGCTCCCTATGGAGAATTTGGACCCCTCTGCCTTGTTCCTCTCACCCAGAGAAATTGCAGTGTCTGTTGTACCTATTCTTCCACCCAGCCTACTTTCTCCTGTTCTTCCCCAGATCTCCTTCCAAATAGACTGGTGTAACTGGCACAAAATGTTTGTTAACTGATTGCCAATCCAATAATAAGGGGACTGAGGTTCTTCTTTGAAGGGTGGGTTTATATATCAATTCTGACCACATGTGTGGAGCATCATTCAGCACCCTATGGGCTTTTAGCACAATCTTGCCTACCACCTGTTTTAAAATGGCCTAAAAGCTAAGAATGGTCTCCACATTTTTAAATGGTTGGGAAAAAAAAAGCAAATGAAGAATATTTCGTGACACATGAAAATTACATGAAATTTGAATTTTAGTGTCCATAAATAAAAAGAGGGCTGAGGACAAACTCCAGGGAACACCAGTATTTAAAGAGTAGCTGAAAGGAAGGAGTCTATGAAGGAGACTGAGAAGGAGATGCTCAAGAAGTGGGAGGAAAAGCTAGGAGGAAACTAGGAACACAGCCACGCTCCTTCATTTACATATTGTGCATGGAGGCTTTCGTGCCACAGTTGAGTACTCATGACAGAGATCGGATAGCCCACAATGCCTAAAATATTTGCCATCTGGCCCTTTACAGAAAAAGTTTGCTAACCCCTGATTTAGGACTCTAGGTGGCTGTGTCCCATATGTCTCCCCACTGGTAGTCTCATAAACTTCTTTTCTACTGTCCCGAGGGGCCTGAATCTCCCCACTGCCAGAACCACTGATGGGTTAGTCCCTGAATGTTGGGATACTGGGAAATGTTCTTTTGGTTTTTGGAAGGTTACAATGATTTCCAAACCCTAGTCCTTCCCTGGCACGCTGCCTCCACCACACAGACACACACACATGTATACACATGGCTGTTCCAGAATATCTAGGAGGTCATGGAGTTGTTTTTGGTTTTGGCTATTACTGCTACTATTACTTGTTTATCAAAAGAGGATATGATGCCAGGCACAGTGGCAGGTGCCTGTAGTCCCCAGCTACTTGGGAGGCTGAGGCGGGAGGATCGCTTGAACTCAGGGGTTCAAGACTGGAGTGAGTTATGATTGCACCTGTAAGTAGCCACTGCACTCCAGCCTGGGCAACAAGGGAAACTTTGTCTAAAGGAAAAAAAATGATGGAAAGTACGAATTTTGAAAGTCTCAGAAACACTGATGGACAATATTCACATATATTAATTTCTCAGATTACTTGATTGCCACATGAGAACTTTCTCACTGCCTCTTCCCCCACCCCTTCTGTCTTTCTCTTTCTTTTGTCTAACAAACTTGAAGCATATACACTGACAGTTTCTTCCTCACCTCCCACTTACTTCTCAGCCCACCACAATCTGGAGTCGACTCCCACTACAACACTGAAACTGCTCTCAATAAATTTGTCAGCCATCTCATAATCACCAAATCTAAGGACACTTTTCAATCCTCCCTTGACTTTTGAGTAGCATTTAGAAATGCTGACCTTGCCCTCCTTTGTGGCACACCTCTTTTTTATTTCTCTGATCTGCTTCTACCTCGTTCTTTTCTCAGTGCTCTGGATGGTCCTCATGCCACCAGATTCTCACAAACCAGGGTATTTCAGTATCCTCGTTATTATCTTTTGTCTCAGTGACACACACACCCTCCTCTACTGTGTTCTGAATTGCTCAGCTTAGGAATTAGCCAGGTGTGTATTTCCCAGCCTTCCTGGACATCTGGCTTCCTGTTAGATTCTGCCAGTAGGAGGCACTGGTGGGAGATCAGAAGGCAAGAGAAACTGAGAAGCGTCCTGCTTCAGCCTCTAAACAGAGTGACAGTTGCTGGGAATAGCTGGTGGATGTAGCAGCAGGAAGAATGGGAGACTCAGGACTCCAGCCTCCTGAGCAAAAGAAGTACCTTCTCAAGGATTCTAGCCTTGAAGGAGGTGGCACCTTTTTAGTAGATTGGAACTGACTATGACAATGTCTTTCACAAGGCAATGAGTAGATTTCCAGATTCCAGCTCAGGGATGATGGCAGCTTCTGATTTCCAGATAGCAATCTTTTTTTTTAATTTACATTTCTAGGATGCTCCTTTTTTTTTTTTTTTTTTTTTTTTTTTTTTAACCTTTGTAACCAATTCTCTATATTAAATTCTTTCAGTCTGAAGCACATAAAGTAGTTAAATGCTCCTGACTGGATCCTGGATAACTGGTATGAGGTTTGGGGTTGAGCCCATGCATACTTTTGTCCTTGTTTCACTTCCCACTCCTTCTGCACAGTTTACTTGGGTGACCTTATTCATGGCCTCTGCTTTGACATTTGTGCTGATGACTCTCAAATCAGGCTCTTCAGACCATACCTGGGGTCCATACCCACATGACTCACTGTGCTCCCGTGCAGTTTTAGCTGGCTGTTCCACCGGCATTTCAAATTCAACATGTACAAAATCAAGCTCTTTCTCTCTGTAAACCTGCTCCCATGGCATTCTTTCCTACTTCAATTCCATCCATCCCTGACCACCCACCCAGCCACCCACGCTGGAAATCTGAGATATCCTTGATTCCTCCACCTTCTCACTCCCACAAGTAATCAGTAGCTAAACCCTTTAGATTCTACTTCCTAATTATCTCGATATTCTATCTCCTCCACCTCCTCTAATTATGACTTAATTCAGGCTCTTATCATCTGTCATTTAAATTATTGCTGTATTGCTACAGGAGTGGTGTGTGTATGTGCAAATGTTCATCTTGGTATGCTATAGACTCTTGCCCAGCAGTTTTGCCTGAATTCTTTAAAAACTCTGGTTCATTGTTTGAAATATCAATCAGAACATTTTTTCCAAAATGCTAAAATGATTGTGTCATCCCCCAGTTTTAATATCCCTATCATCTGCTAAGTAAAAGCAAGCTCCTCCTTGTGGCGTAGCAGGGCCCATGTGATCTGGCCCTTGCCTGAATTTGTAGCTCATCACAACATCCCTCTACCCCCCATTACCTCCTATTATACAGGAACACACAAGTGACCTTCACAACATTCATATCAGCGAGTACACAGGGTCTCCAAAGAGGACCTCTGGATGCCTGTGATCTTTGTACTTCTGCCTACCCTTTGCCCTGGAATGTTTTTCTCTTCCCTTATGTTCTGCTGGTCAAATTCTTTTTCCTTCAAGACTTAGGAGCCTGCCTGATTATGTTCCTCCTATTCCGCATCCTCATAAAATTACTGCATCCTCATAAAATTACAAAGCACTTGGCACATTCTTATTGAATACGTTACATTGTTGTGTAATTATCCCTTGGCCCCCTCTCCAAGCACTAGACTCTAAGCTGTTTGAAGGCAGACTATGCCTATTCATCTTTGTATTTCTAGCCCTGGGCCCAACACCCAGCATTTCTTGTATTTTCAGTATATTTCTGCAAAATGAATTAGAGCTAATGCCTGAAGGAGAATGATTTTTTTTCAGAAAGGGGAAGAGCCAGGAGGGAGAAGGCAGGATCTGAAGAGCTCTGGGAGTTTACTTCAGGAAGATGCGGTTCCCCACTGCAGCATTCTGCCAGGAGGTGGCACTGCTCTGAAGAGCAGCTGGTGGCTTACAGCCTGAGGTTGACAGCTTGAAACCAAAGAGGGAACTCCACCACGAAGCAACATTCCTCCACTGGGCTTCCCAGCCCAGTTACATGCCATACTCTGCCCTGGTCAAACAGCCAAGTCTTCAGGAGGTTGCTAGCCCCAGGCGTCTCCCCAGTGACTGATGATGTTAAACCCTACACTTCTCTGATTGGTTTAGACAAAATGACAAGGGCAGCTATTGGAAATTATCTGGCAAAACATGATCTAAGGCCACCCTCTGGGGGAGGGAGTTGGGGAAGTGCAAGGGTTGGCTGGGTTGGTAGCTCCTACCTATTGTGTGGCGAGAAGGTATGGGTCATGAACAGAACCAAGGAGCTGCGCTGCTACAGATGCTACCACTTCTGTGGCTGCTACCCTACTCCTGGGCCGTCCCGGAAGGTAAGATGGTACTCCCATTTACTTCCATCCTGAACCTAGGGAGCCCACCCAGCGTTTGTGAGGAAAAGCGCTGTGCTTTGTGAGTGGTGGGAAGTCTTTTGAGGCAGTGGAAACAGTAGGGGAGTGGGGAAAGACAGCTACTATGTATGGTTGGTAAACGATATCAGAGATGCTTTACATGTTCCATTTAAGACAATCTCTTGAAGTGGAGATTGTTCTCTCCGTTTTACAAATGAAGAAAGTGAGACTCAGAGTTATTTGTGCAAGTTCACAACATTGGAAAGTGGTAGAGCTGGGATTTGAACAAAGTGGATGTTATTTTCACTCCTCCACTCAAGATTCTACTCTGCTTTCTATCATTAACTTATCTTGTGATTCTTGAAAAGTCTCTTAGTTTCATTCTCTGTAGAGGATGGCCCAGAATGGAAGAATAATCTGGAAGGTCGCTCTTCCTCCAAATGTCTGTTTTTCTGGGTATTGGGTTAAAGGTTTCCTGCTCGCTGAGCGATTCCTGCCAAGCGCTTCAAAGAAGAGGGATTATTTTATGCAGTTATGGGGTCACTTCTCCCAGTGCTGTCTTTGGGAGGCCTGGTAGGTTAAGGAACAGAAGACATTTTCAGAGAGGCTTGGTGCCAATGAAGTGGCTGAAGAAATGTCTGGAGACTGGTTTTCCAATTTACCATTTGTGTCTGGGGGTAGTGGGAGGCAGTCCCATCTATGGCTTGGGGAGGCTGTAGCCATTCCTCCTCCTTCCCTTCTAAGAGTGAGAAACCCATCCATGGCCTTCTCTAGTCAATACAGTGGCCTGGTGTGAATTAGACAAAGGAATCTTTGGGAGGATACAGCCCTATGCCAGGATGTGTGGCGTGGTGAGCAGAATGCAGGCTTCCACTTGCTGCTTTGGCTAGGTGTCTTTGTGCAGCCCACAAGCACACAACGAACAGAGTAACTCTGAATCTGTCACTTTATTTTATATATATGCATTTTTAAAATTTTTATTTGATTAATTAATTCTTCTTCTTATTATTTTGAGGCAGAATCTCTGTCTGTCACCCAGGCTGGAGGGCAGTGACGCGATCTCGGCTCACTGCAACCACTGCCTCCAGGGTTCAAGAGACTCTCCTGCCTCAGCCTCCCGAGTAGCTGGGATTACAGGTGCACGCCACCTCATCCGGCTGATTTTTGTATTTTTAGTAGAGATGGGGTTTCATCATGTTGGCCAGGGTGGTCTCAAACTCCTGACCTCAGGTGATCCACCTGCCTTGGCCTCCCAAAGTGCTGGGATTACAAGCTTGAGCCACTGCACCCGGCCTTTATATATATATATTTTTAAGACGGGCTCATTCTGTCACCTGGGCTGGAGTCCAGTGACACAATCACGGCTCACTACAGCCCCAACCTCCTAGATACAAGCAATCCTCCCCCCTCAGCCTCCAGAGTAGCTGAGACCACAGGTGCTTGCCACCACACCTGGCTAAGTTTTTGTATTTTTTGTAGAGACAGGGTCTCGCTGTGTTGCCCAGGTTGGTCTTGAACTCCTGGGCTCCAGCAATCTGCCTGCCTCAGCGTTCCAAAGTGTCGAGATTACAGGCGTGAGCCACCATGCCTGGACTGAATCTGTCACTTTAGACAGTAGAACTCTTTTTACTTTTGCCAACTTTAGACAACTGGCCTTTTTATAGGCCAGGGAAGCTTGGAGAGATGCTATAATATGTTCTTCACCCCCATTGGGAGGGGGAGTCTAAATAACAGACACGGGAAAGGGTCTCACCTCAGCCCACGCTCCTTGAAGCAGGCCTTGCTTGTTTTTTTTTTTGGTGGTGGTGTTGTTTTTTGTTTTGAGACAGAGTCTCACTCTGTCACCCAGGCTGGAGTGCAGTGGCTTAATCTTAGCTCACTGCAACCTCTGCCTTCCTGGTTCAAGCAATTCTCCTCCCTCAGCCTCCTGAGTAGCTGGGACAACAGGCGCCCGCCACCGTGCTCAGCTAATTTTTGTATTTTTAGTAGAGACGGCGTTTCACCATGCTGGCCAGGCTGGTCTCTAACTCCTGACCTCGTGATCTGCCCGCCTTGGCCTCCCAAAGTGCTGGGATTACAGGCATGAGCCACCGCGCCCAGCCCCACCTTGCTGTTTTTTAAGTTGAAGGAGAAGGCTCCCACCTCCCTGAACCTCACCCTATGTCCTTTGCAGCTCCTACTCCAGTGTGGCGAGATGACCTGCAAAACCACACGTTCCTGCACACAGTGTACTGCCAGGATGGGAGTCCCAGTATGGGACTCTCTGAGGCCTACGACGAGGACCAGCTTTTCTTCTTCGACTTTTCCCAGAACACTCGGGTGCCTCGCCTGCCTGAATTTGCTGATTGGGCTCAGGAACAGGGAGATGCTCCTGCCATTTTATTTGACAAAGCATTCTGTGAGATGATGATCCAGCAAATAGGGCCACAACTTGATGGGAAAATCCCGGTGTCCAGAGGTCAGGAGTTTTCTGGGGAGTGAAGGAAGGAGGGCTGCATTCTTAACCTCATTGATCTGTACACTGAATAATTCCCCTTGATACGAGCTCCCCATCTCAAATACCTTCTGGTTCTCTCCATCACCTTAATTTTTCCACCAGCCTTGGTCTGCACCCTGTGTTTTTTGGTGGGCAGAAGTACCTAGCATGTAGTAGGCATTCAGAACTATGTATTGAATGTGATGAATTCAACAGGTACCAGTTGATACCTACTGAATATTAACACTTGTGCTGCTATGCCCAGCAAGATGGATGGGAAGAGTGGAAATATCTGATGATGTGACTATGTCTTAGTGAGAAGACAGTGCATGGTTAGACGTCAATGTGAGCTCTAGACAGGAAGTGCTGAAGGAAGTCATGGTGGAGGGGTCCAGAGTAGCCTGGATCGGGCTCTGCTTCTAGGTCTAGCTGCAGTCCTTGCCTGGAAGAAGACCTCCCTTGGGAGCCCAGCTCCTCCCTCATCTCTGTCTCCCAAAGCCTGACCCACTGTGTTCTTCTCTGCCCTCCCCTCCATATGCCATGCACCCTCCAAACACAGAGATACCGTCTAAACTAGTCTCTTTTTTCCCCACACCACAATCCCCCCACCAGGGTTTCCTATCGCTGAGGTGTTCACGCTGAAGCCCCTGGAGTTTGGCAAACCCAACACGTTGGTCTGTTTTGTCAGTAATCTCTTCCCACCCATGCTGACAGTGAACTGGCAGCATCATTCCGTCCCTGTGGAAGGATCTGGGCCTACTTTTGTCTCAGCTGTCGATGGACTCAGCTTCCAGGCCTTTTCTTACTTAAACATCACACCGGAACCTTCTGACATTTTCTCCTGCATTGTGACTCACGAAATTGACCGCTACACAGCAATTGCCTATTGGGGTGAGGCTTTCTCCCTGGAAATCTGGTCCTTTTGGGGGCAAAAAGGGATAGATCCATGGGAGGAGTCTTCTTTCTCCACTGGTACCTTGTTTAGTCCATTCCTACCCTAAGCCCATCCCAATCTTCCATGCCTCAGTTTCTCCCATGTCATCCCAGACACCCAAGTCATTCCCCTGGGAGGGAGGCTCCCTAACTAGGTCCCCAGGCTGAGCCGCTCCTTATTTCCTCCAGTGCCCCAGAACGCACTACCCTCAGATCTGCTGGAGAATGTGCTGTGTGGTGTGGCCTTTGGTCTAGGTGTGCTGGGCATCATCGTGGGCATTGTTCTCATCATCTACTTCCGGAAGCCTTGCTCAGGTGGTATGTCATCTGGAGGGGGCGGGTGAGCCGTGGGAGCCAGATACGGTGGTGCATGTGTGCATGTGTCAGCATTATATTGTGGCACGGGGGGACACATAGCGATCCTCAGGCTCTTGGGTGTGGGGGCCTGTATCCAGCACCATGGGAGCACATCTTCCCAGTTGGGGACCCAGTTACACACATACAGTTATGGGTCACAAGAATGGCTTTGAGTGAAAAAAGGAATCATGGGGTGCTGTAGGAAGGGTGCTTGGAGATGATCTGGGAACAAGGAGAGATCAACCTCTGCAGGGTATGCTGAAGGCAGGGCGAGCAAAGCCTTTGGGGGGGAGGAGGAGGAGGAGAAGGAGGAGGAGGAGGAGAAAGAGGAGGAGGAGGAGAAGGAGGAGGAGAAGGACGAGGAGGAGAAAGAAGAGGAGGAGGAGGAGAAGGAGGAGAAGGAGAAAGAAGAGGAGAAGGAGGAGGAGGAGGAGGAATCCCCTGATGCCTTTCCTCCATCCCTGTCTCTCCCCAGACTGATTCTTCCAGACCAGAGTTTGATGCCAACAGCTTCGGCCATCCAAACAGAGGATGCTCAGGTTCCTCAGGATCTCTTCTTCTCAGGGTAGAAGAAGTCTCTGGGACATCCCTGGGGTGTGTGTGTGTAGATTTCCCACCTGGGGACTCTGCTATCCCTGGGCTTGCATCCCAGGGATCCCAGAGTGGCCTGCCTATCACAACCACATCCCTTCCCTGCACAAGACAATAAATCATCTCATTTCTTTATATCAGGGTGGCTTCTTTCTTAACTCACAGTATTTGTTTCTGGATAGCTCAATTTTAGTGGGTTGTCGTTTCAAATTCAGCATGCCTTAACCTGAACACAGCTTGCCCTCGTTAGGGAGGGAAATAGGGAAAACCCCTAATTTGCTGGCTGAGTTCTTATTCCCTGGTCTCGGCGGTACATGATGCTTTTCCTTCTATCGGTTTGTGCAAAATATGTGAGAAATGAAGGAAGAGTTATTTTCTAATAATCTGCTTACCAAATGGTTAAGGAAGCTGCTTGTGCGGGGTGTGTGTGTGTGTGTGTTTGAGTATTTTACTGTTTGTGAAAATGTTTATGTCTTGCATAGGCTGCCCTGAGGAACATATAACTCCCTTCAACCCTCACCGTAACTGGGAAACGGAAGCTCAGGGATGGGTAGAGTAAGCCCCGAGGTGCAATTCCAGTCAGTCATGTCAGTTCTGGGAAAACAGTATCATGAAGCCCCTAACATGAAGTGAAAACAGCCTGGAAGGGCAAAGAATTCACATGTCTTTCCTGACAATCTGTCCTTGGCCTGAGTGAACTGTCCAAGGAGAACTGCACAGGTGCTGTCCTGGGCAGATAATGAAAGCTGGCAGCACATGACCACTGGTGGTAAATTGCTTTGCATATGCTTTCTTTCTTGCATTCCTTAGGGTCTGGGAGTTGCTTAGGATGACAGGGTGGCAATAAAGTTGAGAGGGCAATTACTTGGTGAGGGAGTTTCTGTTCTTGGCATTGTGTTATTTTAATCTAAAATAAAAATTCCCTCTAAGAGAAGTTAGCACTGTCTCTGAACCATCTCATTTCTAACAGCATCATGTGTGCTGGTTAAGAAGCACAGGCTCTGGAACCAGACTGCTGGGGATTCAATTGTAACTGTCAGCTTTTAGCTGTGAGCCCTTGAGCAAGTTACTTAACTTGTGCTTTGGTATCATTTTGTGTAAAAGGATGATGATAACAATGGTGTCCACCTTACCACCATGTTGCCAACATTTGAAAGTCAAATAAATGTTAGTGAGGATAAAGGGAAAGGTGAACTCTAATATCTTGGTCTGTTGGTGGGATTGTAAACTGTTTATGACCCTTGAATTACAGAAATTATAAACTAGTTGAGTGAAAAAATTAATATAGGAAATAAGGCAGCATATCCTCATGCTGTGAAGCTTAAATAAGTTAATATCTGTAGAATGCTTACAATAGTGTTTGGCACATACAAAATGTGCTCAATAACCTAATCTTATCATTACTTGTCTTGATCTTCAGAGGAGAACTTAGTTGCTTCGTAGACTTCTTTCTCTTTTCTGAAATACACCTTAATACTAGCTTCAAGTATTGTGTTTTCTCCATTTTAGATGTTTTTCTTTTTATTCTCACTTTACTAATTCTAGATATGGTGCTTTCTAGTTCTTCCTAATTTCTCTCTCTCGCTCTCTATTTTCCAACTTATCTAGATATTTCCTGTCAGGCAAGCTTTAAAAGTGTTTTATTATGCTGTGTGACCTTAGACAAGTCACTTCCCCTCTCTGGGCCTCAAAGTCCTCATCTATAAAATGATGGGCTTAGATTAGATGCTCTCTGAACAAACCTTCTATGATACTGTTACTTAAGTACTCTAGAAGCACTCAGTATCCTCTCTAGTCTGGTGCCCCTTTTCTAATAAAAAATATTACTCACTATTCCTAGCAGGAATGATGTTCTTGAATGAATCTTTTTTCCTCACTCTTTCTTGAGGTATTATATCTGTTTTTGGTTTAGGGCATTTGCCCAGGCTCTTTCCTCTCACAGGAATGCCTTCTTTATTCTGCTTATCTTGTTCCTGTCTTAACCCACTCCATAGGTCCAACTCCAGTTCAACTTATTCCATGAACCTGCCCCTAATTTCTCTTTACTGAAATCTTCCAAGACTTAAAGCACTCAACCTAAGGATTGGGATATGCCGCTTTATTTCCTATGTTAATTTTTTTTCACCCAACTAGTTTATAATTTCTATAATTCAGGGATCATAAACAGTTTATACTCTCACCAACAGAGCAAGATAGTTCACATTTCCCTTTATGCTCACTAATACTTGTAATTATTTGACTTTTAAATGTTGGCAACATGGTGGGTATAGAGTGGTATTTTGTTGTTTTAATTTGCTTTTCTCTCATTACTAATCAGTATCACATTGTTTGATGATTTTGGCTTTTTAATATGTGTTACTATTTAGTAGAACTAGTTTCCATTCCTTTACCATCTTCCCAAAAAACTTACTTTTCTTTTCTTTATCAAAATATTCTAAGATACTTTTGGACTATATTTCCATGTACATTTTATAATCAGTTTGTTAAATTCTCCTGAAATCCTACTGTTACTTTAATTGGGGTAGCATTTAGGTTAGAGATGTGGGGAGAGGTTGTCATTATGTTAGCATGGCCTATCCATGAATATGGTATATCTCTACACCTCTCAGGTCTTTGTGCACGTCAATAAAGTTTTCTTTTTTCTTAAAATTCTTATATTTGATATGTTAATTCATAAATATGCTATGGTTTTTATTGTTATTATAAAAGGCAATTTGCAGTTATTTTCCAATTGATTATTAGCAATACAGGATTTAAAGTAAGAAATCCTGAGTTCAAGTAATGATTCTATTACTTAGTATCTGGGTAAACCTCAGCAACCACTTAACCTCCCTCTGCCTCCATTTTCTCATGGGTAAGATGAAGACAGCATTCTTCAATAGTTGTGGTGTTAAAACATAAAAATAAAAAAGGAAAAATAGTTGTGGTGGCAAATCAGATAGACTATCCTCTAGTAGTTCAAGTAATTTGGCTGTAGGATGGAAGGATGGTGAACTGACTACAGAAACTATAATCCAAAGGTCAGATCTAGAGCAGTGAATCCTGACAGGGTAGGAGGGTGTCTGTGTGGGCGGAGGTGAGGTAAGGGGTACATGGCAGGAGTCGGGTGGGGATTGGACAGATTGCGCAAGTAATATAACCTTGGCAGGATGTAGGTGTGTGTAGTTTTGAAAGACACCGAAGTCACGAATGTGGTCTTATGCTATGAGGCATGATTAACTCGTTGAGCAATTTTGTGTTTATAAAATGGAGACTTCAGTTAAAACCATCTGCCCCAAAGAGGAACCTGAGAACTGACATGGAGCAACTTTAGGAAGTGCCTAGAAGAGATTTATTATTATGGCCATACTCTCAGAAAAACACAAGAGATTGCATTTGTGACTTCCTCCAATGTGCAGTGCCAGTGATGTTATTGTAGCTTGTCTTTGTTTTAGCTACCCCAAGCTCCTCGTAGGACACCTCCTCCCTGATGGCACCTCACAGCATTGTCAAGCTTGTGAAGCTATACACCAGACCTACGATGCCAACTGCCTTCCTCCTCTCCAGCACAAATCCAGCCCAGTATTCAAGGCTCATTCCAGGTCCTCTTGATTGAGAATACTCCCTGTCTACTATGCCCATGGTGATTTCTCTCTTCTTTTTTAAGACCACTGGCCTTATTGCTCTCTTATTGCTTACTTGCTTTAATATAAACTATTTAAAGTGTTTGTTCTCACTCCCCAACTGACCTACAAGCAAAGTGATATGGGAGCAGAATCCATATCTTCTCATTCTGAATGTTCCCAGTAATGCTTTGCACACAAACCCTGGGACTAGTCCACTGCAGGCATGTGGTGGCCAGGCTAAGGGCAGAGGCAGTGGGAAAGGAGAGGACTCACTCTTTGGGTGGTTGTGTAGAGTCAGTAAAAGAAAGGCAACATGTGGGAACCCGGTTGGGGCTCCATGCCTCTTCAGTCCTGGTGCTATATCAATAATTAACAAAAAGCAACAATGGACAGAGCAATTGAGATGTTATTTTGGATTGGCTGGAGGTGGGAAGACAGAGCTATATCTGTAAAAATGGAAGGACTGGGAGGAAGAGGGGAAGGAAAACACTGCTGAGCACAGGTGTCTGGGTTTTCTGTCCTTCTTTATTCTAAAAAGCTCCCTCAGTGTTTGAATTAATAGAGAAGTGAAATCTTCTCCTGTCATCTCCTGTTGTGGCCTCACAGAAGGTTTCACATCTCCTTTGACTGCTGGAGCAGAGATCTAGACATAAGAGGGAACGACATTCAGCCTCACTGTTACTGGCTATGGCCATGTTCAGTGCTGGCACAGGACCACACAGCCAGTGCCCCCTTGCCAGGGCTAGGCTTTGTAGACATTGAAAAGGATCCCAGGACTTGGTTCCTATAAGGTTAGGATAACAGCTTACCTGGACAGGATGGGGAGGAATGTGAGGGGGAAATGTATGGAGTGGGGGGCGCGGGGGAAAATTCAGTTTTAAAACTTGTCAAAAGAGAAAGGTGGTTCGCAGAGCAGAAGGAACTCTGAGGACGGGAAAGATAAGACTTGGGTGAACTGGGTTATGGATTGTGACTCTTCTCTTTCTCCCTTCCTCAGCAGAGGCCTCAGTGACTCCCTTTATCTGAGCCATCCCAGTTCCAGGATGTAGTGAGTGTGTGGGCATGCTCAAGTGTGTGTGTGTGTGTGTACGCACATGCATGTGTAAGAGCTGTATAAGAAGAGGAGTTACAACCTTTAGACCTTGGGTGTGAATCTTTGGACCTGTTTTCCAGCCTGGGAAATGAGGACAATTAACAAGTTTTTTGTGTGTGTGATTTTCTTTTTTTAAGACGAGTCTCACTCTGTCGCCTAGGCTGGAGTGCAGTGGCGCGGTCTCGGCTCACTTCAAGCTTTGCCTCCCGGGTTCACGCTATTCTCCTGCCTCAGCCTCCAGAGTAGCTGGGATTACAGGCACGCGCCACCATGCCCGGCTAATTTTTGTATTTTTAATAGAGACAGAGTTTCACCATGTTTGCCAGTCTGGTCTCGAACTTCTGACCTCAGGCGATGTGCCTGCCTTTGGGAGGCGAATCCCTCCCAAAGTGCTGGGATTACAGGTGTGAGTCACCACATCTGGCCAACAAGTCTTTTAAGATGAGATGAGATAGTATATAATGGACCTACCTAGCATTGTATCTGTTCTAAAGTAGAAGCTCTACAAATTATGCACTCCCCACCCCATATTCTGCCCACTCCAACACACTTGACAGTTCATTAGCAGAGTTGGAGTATATAATCAAGGTGAGTGGGGGCAGTGGCTGGGAGCTATGGCAGAGCTTCAGTTAATCTCAATTAGTTACACGAGGAGCCTTTTGTTTTTGGTAATGATCTTTGTATGTATTTTTTTCTAACCATTTTCTCCGTAGGTATTAGATTTTCCTGAGATCAGGGACTTTGGGGGAGGGCAGCTAAGTGTGGTGTCAAGGGGACCCCTCCACATCTTCTTTTGTTTAGCTCACTATTTAATGAAATCCAAGAGTCCTCAGAAACTAAGGTGTGGAGAGGCAGCCCTGAAACCTGCTGAGGAGCGGAAGGAAGCCAATTTAGAGTTTCAAGTTAGTAATGGAAAATCCATCAACTGTATAGTTCACAATGGGATAGAAGAATGAATTGCCATTTAAAATCTGCTTTTTCAGGCCAGGCACAATGTATGCCTGTAATCCTAGCACTTTAGGAGGCTGAGGTGGGTGGATCACTTGAGGTCAGGAGTTCAAGACCAGCCTGGCCAACATAGTGAAAGCCCGTCTCTACTAAAAAAAAAAAAAAATTACAAAAATTAACCAGGCGTGGTGGCACATGCCTGTAACCCCAGCTGCTCGGGTGGTTGAGGCATGAGAATCATCTGAACCCAGGAGGCAGAGATTGCAGTAAGCCGAGATCATTCCACTGCACTCCAGCCTAGGCAACAGAGTGAGACTCTTTAAAAAAGGCCGTGAAAAAATAAATACGCAAATACATAAAATCTGCCTTTTCAAGACACACACGTGACCAACAAGCATGTGAAAAAATGTTCAACATTACTAATGATTAGAAAAATGCAAATCAAAATCACAGTGAGATACCATCTCATTATGGCTATTATTAAAAAATAAATGTTGGAGAGGTTGCAGAGAAAACAGAAGGCTTATACACTGTTGGTGGGAACATAAATTAGTTCAGTCATTGAGGAAAGCAGTTTGGCAATTTCTCAAGAAACTTAAAGCAGAGATACCATTCGTCCCAGCAATCCCGTTATTAGGCATATACCCAAAGGAGTATAAATTGTTCTACCATAAAGACGTACGCACATAAATGTTCACTGCAGCAGTATCCATCACAGCAAAGACATGGAATCAACCTAAATGCCCACCAACAGTAGATTGAATAAAGAAAATGTGGTACATATACACCATGGAATACTACACAGACAAAAAAAAGACGAGATCACGTCTTTTGCAGCATCATGGATGGAGCTGGGGGCCATTATCCTAGGCAAACTAACACAGGAGCAGAAAATGAAATACTACATGTTCTCACTTTTATAAACATTGAGTACACATGGACACACAAAAAAGGGAATAATAGACACTGGGCCCTACTTGAGGGTGGAGGTTGGGAAGAGGGAGAGGATCAAAACACTGCCTATCAGATACCATACTTATTACCCGGGTGATGAAATAAATTTGCATGCCAAATCCCCATGACACACAATTTACCTATATAACAAACCTGCGCATGTACCCTTGAACCTAAAACAAAGGTTAAAATAATTAAAAATAAATAAAATATAAAATCTTACTTGCTATTCTCAAAAAATAAAAAACAAAATCTGTCTTTTTAGGGGAAGAAAAGTAGGAAAGCTTTATCTCATTTTCCTAGTGGCTTCATAATGCAGGGACCTGCCCCCAGGAAACAGGGTACAGTAGAGGAAACACACAGGGGTGTTTAGAGTTTGGGGGAAGGCAGGTGAGCTCTGGGCACTGACCCGTCACCAGCTATTTTTCAAGGAGTCTGAGTGGTGTTAACCTGCAGTCTACCCCGTGAGATTGCTCAGAGTGTAGGAGGATATGGTTTACTGGCTCCAGAAAGCAGCTATTATAACTAAGGAGGAAATGAAGCTTGACTGGCTAGAACAGAAGCAACGATGGAGGCCCATGGAGGGATTTTCCAGGCCCCTATTCCTGATCTCTAAAGTGGCGCTGCTTCCCTTATTCTGCAGTCTTGCTTTGAGACCAGACAATTCTGTACTCTGTCTGTGCCTCCTTCCTTCTCAGCAGCCCTGCCTCTGCCACCTGCCCCAGAAGGGCTCTGGGTCCTCTTATCTCAGGACAGACAAAGGTTTTTGTAATTATCTTCTTGGGTAACCTCCCTGTAAGGAATAGGAGAGGTTATCTGGTCCTGGTCTTTTGGGAGAGCATTGAGAGGAAAAAGTTAAACCAGTGGGCAGCCCAGGCTGCATACATCCTGGGAATATTGCGATTATTCTCTCCAGTAATCTAGGGAAATCTACTGGTTGTTCCGCAGAAAAAGAATTAAGAGAGAACAGGAGACCTGTTGTCTAAGCCTAAGGCAGGATGAGGTTTACCTAGTAACTGATGACGCTAGGCTGAGGCACTCAGCGATTTGTCTCTGCATCTGTCCCCGCCTACCTAGCCAATCTGTCCCTGTTTGGAACACTGGACTCCCGTGAGCTGGAAGGAACAGGTTTAATATCTTGGGGCTGGGTATCCCCATTTCACTCATTTGGGGGGATCAAGGGACCCGGGCAATATAGTATTCTGCTCAGTGTCTGGAGATCATCTACCCAGGCTGGAGCTTCTGGGACAGGTGAGGACCCACGGACCCTGGAAGAGCTGGTCCAGGGGATTGAACTCCCGGCATCTCTACAGAGCAGAGCATGATCATATTCCTGCCGCTGCTGCTGGGGCTCAGCCTGGGCTGCACAAGAGCAGGTAAGGACACTTCTTCCGGGGACTCTCCCTTCCCCTGCTCCTGTTTCAGGATAAGGGTGTTCCGTTTTGTAATTGCATATGACCCCCTGGATAGTTTGTCTCCCTGGTATATATTCCTATAGCACTTTGTACTTTATCTTTGTAGCAATTTTAATGTAATTAATCTGTATAATTATCTGTGCAGTGTATATTCCCTGCTGGAATATAGGCAAGGACATTGTTCATCTTATCTATTGCTGCATCCCCAGCTCCTAGCCCAGTGCCTGCATGCAGCAAGTGCTTTGCAAATATGTGCAAACTGAATATTTAATATTTCCAGCACAGTACAAGGCTGACTCTTTCTCTTGACCCTTATTCTCTCTCAATAATTTGCCATAGTGAAGGTCTGTGTTCTGGGCAGATTGTCATGTTTAAATATGCAAATAATCTCGGGGGGCCACTCCTATCCCTGTGCTTAGTCTTGCATAAAGAGGAGACTGGATCTAAAAACTTATCTACTATTTCTATCAACTCCCTCAAATCAGGCTTTCAGAAACTTCAGGGTATGAACTTGGTCAGTAGACGGTCCCTGAGCAGGAAATCTGTGCCAGACTAACTGGATGTCACCAAGGCTTAGGTTCTCAGCTGAATATAAGAAAAATCAACTTTTTTTCTTCTATATGCTCACACTCAACACTTCTTTGACCAATTGTGTGGGTTTTTTTTTTTTTTTTTTTTAACTCATAGCAACCAATTATCCTACATTAGCTGGATATCCTATAATTCAATTCCATTGTGACATTAACTGGAGTTAACATAGACTCCAAAGGTTAAAGACTCAGTCCCATAAGGCCGCCTCCATTTCAGACACCAATCACAAGTAGTAGCTTCCCGAGTTACCTACATCTTCTGTCCAACTTGGCTACAAATCAGAGGTTCCCATGACCCCCTCCTTGGGGTTGATAATTTGCTAAAGTGGCTTATGGAACTCAGGAAAAGTTTACTTACTATTGTAGACTTTTATAAGGGATATTTTATTTTAATTGATAATGATTATACATATTCCTGGGGTGGATAATGGTGTTTTAGTACATGTAATGTACAGTGATAAGATCAGAGTAATTAGCATATCCATCATCTCATTTATCATTTCTTTGTGTTGGAAACATTCAATATCCTTCTTCTAGTGATTTGAAATGATATAATGTATTATTGTTAATGATAGTCATCCCACAGTGGTATAGAACACTAGATTGTAATTTTGCATCCTTTAACAAAGGATATTTTAAAGCATACAAATGAACAACCAGATGAAGAAATACCAGGTCTGGAAGGGTCCCAATCACAGGAGCTCTGTCCCAACAGAATTGGGGTACTTCACCTCCTGGCACGTGGATGTGTTTGCCAACTGAGAAGTTCTCTGAACTCCACAGTTCCGGGATTTTTCTGGAGGCTTCATCACATAAGCATGACTGATTATTAACTCAATCTCCAGCCCCTTCCCCTTCAGGGAGGATGGGGGAAGGGACTAAAAGTTCCAGGCTTCTAATCATGGCTTGGTCTTTCTGGTGACCAGCCCCTCCTCTAGGAGCCCACCAAGAGTTACCCCATTAGAACAAAAGACACTCCTGTTATCTAGGAAATTCTAAGCGATTAGGCACTCTATCTCAGGAATCAGGGTCAAAGACAAAATATTAGAACAAAAACAAAAGTGCACCTACCATCCCTATCACTCAGGAAATTACAAGGGTTTTAAGAGCTCAGTGCAGAGCTCCTAAATATATGTCTATATGTTATGTATATTTATTATTTATGTATATTTATTATTTATTTATTGTCAGGCCAATAGAAGACATTGACCTGCTCTCCCTTCCCTGGCTCCTCTAGGTGGCTTTGTGGCCCATGTGGAAAGCACCTGTCTACTGGATGATGATGGGACTGCAAAGGATTTCACATACTGTATCTCCTTCAACAAGGATCTGCTGACCTGCTGGGATCCAGAGGAGAACAAGATGGTCCCTTGTGAATTTGGGGTGCTGAATCCCGTGGCCAATGGCATCTCACATTACCTCAACCAACAGGACACCCTGATGCAGCGCTTGCGCAATGGGCTTCAGAATTGTACCACACACACCCAGCCCTTCTGGGGATCACTGACCCACAGGACACGTGAGCAGAGAGGGATGCAGAGGGGCTACCAGGAAGTGCAGTTAGGAGGGCAGGCCAGGGAGGATCCCACAGTGGCCCAGGGGTTTGAGATTTGAGCAGCAAAGAAGAGAAAATGTGTGGATCTGAAATGTAGAAAGAGGGAGGATTGAACCTCAAGGGGAACAAGGTGGCTGACCTGAGTGGAACAGGAGTAGAGAAGGGGAGGTGAGGTTTGAACCGCGAGGAATCATGAGGGAAGCTTATGCAGAGGCTGGGGTATCTCAGGATGGGTACCCAAGATGTTCATGCCTTCTTATCCCAGATTTTGGTGTTCTAGATCTGAGGTGGGCCTAGGCATGGGAATATTCCGAATCCTAGGGGATCCTGACACATGTTTTTTCTCACACTTAAACTCTTGCATTGACAATGGCTTGAAGTTTGTAAAAGTAAACTTGAAGCTCTCCACAGTACAGAATAGTGTGTTTCAAGGGTGGTTTCTGAACCACCTTTCTCAGAATTGCCTGGAGGAGGTGCTTGTTAAATATGCAAGCCCCTTGGTACCACTCATAATTTCTTGGATTTTTATTTAAGATTGTGTTTGAAAAATGTCAAGATAGAGGCAAGCAAGAGGGTCACCTAGGAGAGTAAATCAGTAAAATATGGCAGTATTAGCAATCTCATTAATTTGACTACATTCATTCCAAATTTAAGAGTGAATCTTAAGTTAGGCTTGTTTCCTTAAACTATGTGAGGAGAAAAGGCTTTAACTAGCAAATTAATGTATTAAACAAGATTTGGAGAAAAATTCCTTTTCCACCTTAAAAAAACCCAATGTACAACTCTGGATTACTCTTAGCTTACTTATTTCAAATACTTTCCAGCTTACGTACTTGAAATATAATACAATGACTTCCAGAACAGCTTGCAGTTCAGATCTGGTTTTTACTAATTGTAATCAAACATAACTCTGGAGGAGGAAAGAAAGAAAGGGGCAATGAAGGAATGCGAGAGAAGAAAGAGGAATGCAGGAATATATTCTAATGATTCCCTTTCAAGGGGCAGCATGGCAGGGGGGCTGGGGTGGGAAGTGGGTTGCAAAATCTATGAAGAGTTGCGATAGAAAAAGAAACCAGGTTGGAGAAGAGGCCAGAATGTCACCCTCCTTCCTAAAGATGTTTTTTCTCCTATGCAGGGCCACCATCTGTGCAAGTAGCCCAAACCACTCCTTTTAACACGAGGGAGCCTGTGATGCTGGCCTGCTATGTGTGGGGCTTCTATCCAGCAGATGTGACCATCACGTGGATGAAGAACGGGAATCTTGTCATCCCTCACAGCAGTGGCCAGAAGACTGCCCAGCCCAATGGAGACTGGACGTACCAGACCCTCTCCTATTTAGCCTTAACCCCCTCTTACGGGGACACCTACACCTGTGTGGTGGAGCACATTGGGGCTCCTGAGCCCATCCTTCGGGACTGGAGTAAGTGTATGGCAGATGGATGGAATTAGGGTCAAAGCAGAGAAAATGAGATGTGGATCGATACATGGTACATAGTAGACAGCAAGGTGCTGAAAATGGGGACTGAGTCTGGAGGAACTTATGGGGGGCTTAGGACCAGAATTGGGAAATGGGATAAAGAAATGGAAATATTTAGGTTGGTGAAAAGGATTTGCAGTTTTTGCCATTACTTTTAGTGGCAAAAAACGCAATTACTTTTGCACCAATTTAATATTTATATTTAGTCTGTGCTATTGTTGCTTTGGTGGTGTGGTTGATGTTACTGCATCTATATTTGAGGGCGGGAGGGGAGCGTGCTTGCTTTGAAATGAGGATGTAAATTTGGCAATCGTATTTTCAGAACCCCAAATTGTAATACACTATTCTAGCCTCCTTAGATTTCAACTATTCTGGTGCCAGAAGCAGATGGGAGCTGAAGGAATGATGAAGGTTGAAGAAGGGGGACATTTCTTGGTGTGGGGCAGTACTACATTTGGCCTGCTCTACCAAGCATAGGGGAGTAGTCAAGCCACGGCTGGCAGACCATTTGGCGTGCATGCTCAGGGGCTAATGGATAAAGAATTAATTACAGTTCAAACACTGTCGGGAGTAGTTAAAGGTATTGTGAGAAGTTGCACACAGCTTTGGGTATTCTTGGAAAAGAAAGAGAAAGAAATGAGGAAGAGGAAGGGTGTCTACAAAAGCCAGAGAACAGGATCTCAGATCAGCTGCTGTAACCAGGTTTTCCCCTTGTGGGAAGTGCTGTTTCCTGCTGGGCAGTTGGGAAGGGAATGGAGAACAGAGAAGACAGTGGAAATCACATGCTCACTTGAACTTTCCTGGGGAACATCTCCTCACAGGGTGTACAAGAACCTCCCTTTGGTAATAGAGTGTTCATTTTATCATGGGAAAAGAATCTGAGTGGGACATGATTCAGAACAGGACCAGCCCAAGGAAGTGCGGGGGCTGTGGAGTGGGATGGAGACAAGCTCCATGGGAGATCTAGATGTAGAAGGTACACAAGTAGTAGGATAACTCACAGGATGGATCCACTGGAGGTTAAGACACGTGGTAAGACAGTGTAACAGGAAGCTGCTCAGTCGGAGAAAGTAAGGAAGCAAACGTTGTCACCGTGGGGGCAATGGAGAGGACAGTGAGGAGCCTTTATCCTGATAAGAGTGCCTTTTGGGTAAAGGAAGGAAAGAGGATGCCTTGAGAGGCGCCACTGTATTAGAGAGGACCTGGAAGCCAGGATGCTAATTCTGGGGAGATGGGTTCCCCAGGCTTACTCTAGGAGTAGAGGTCCATGGGACGAGGGTTCGATTTGAGAAAGATCATTTTCTTGGGAGTGGGTGGTGCGAGCTAGACCCTTGGAGCTGGGATAAAGGACCTTTTAACCCACTGAGAAGTGGCTGCAATAAATGGAATTGCCCTGGGGGTGAGCAATAGAAATTGGTTCAAGTAAGTTTCTATTTTTTGCAGCACCTGGGCTGTCCCCCATGCAGACCCTGAAGGTTTCTGTGTCTGCAGTGACTCTGGGCCTAGGCCTCATCATCTTCTCTCTTGGTTTGATCAGCTGGCGGAGAGCTGGCTCCTCTAGTGAGTGACTCCCTGAACTCCCATCCCCACTCTTGGTCCCAGTCTCTGCTTACTTTCTGTTTGTGATTGACTCTCTCCTTCCTACCCCCTTTGCTATGAATAATGCTAGATACTTTCATCCACAAAGACTGGTGTAATCAAGTATCTTCCTCTCTTAGGTTACACTCCTCTTCCTGGGTCCAATTATCCAGAAGGTAACATCTCTGTTGGTCTACTTCCCTACTTGTCCTTTGGTTGGGGTACAGGTTAGAGGGTCAGTGTTGGGTTCAACTAATCTTGCTTATTATATGGGTGAGCTTCCATGAGGACCTAGCCAAGGGCATGATTTAAGCTGCCATTGCTAGGATTAAGAGCAGGAAGGAGCATCCTTCTCTTCTACTAAGTGGGGTGTCTGCAGACAAGAGGATGAAGGTGTTTCCTTTGTACTAGTTATTGGTGCCCTCGAGTTCTCAATATCACTGTATTAAGGCATGGGATGGTTACAGTGGCAAACGATGGGGGCAAGTTGGGTTGAAGCCTCATTATCTCCCTTTTATTTATTCTGTAGGACGGCACATTTCCTAGAGGCAGAATCCTACAACTTCCACTCCAAGTGAGAAGGAGATTCAGACTCAATGATGCTACCATGCCCCTCCAACATCTTCAACACTCTGACATTATCTTGGATCCTACGGTTTCTCCATCCAATTATTTGAATTTCCCAGTCTCCCCTATGTAAAACTTAGCAACTTGGGGGACCTCATTCCTGGGACTATGCTATAACCAAATTATCATCCAAGGCTGTATTTCTGGGATGGATATAATCTGAGGAAGGGAGTTAAAGACCCTCCTGGGGCCCTCAGTGTGCCATAGAGGACAGCAAGTCACTGGTGATTGTTTCGGAGAAATAAACTTTAGTGGAAATAATGTTTTTCCATGTCTTCTTCCTGGGGGCCTGGGGAAGGAATATGGGCAAAGCAGGGGCTGAGGTTAATTCTCTTCTACTTCAGTGGGGGGAGAAACAGTGCCTTCTTCCATTTTCCCACTTAGACATGACAGAATTTGGGGCCGTTTTCTGATTAATAATTCATAAGGAGAAATTAAACTGTGGTGGGATGGAGTCATAGAGTATGGGCAAGGAAGGGGATTAACAGCTTACTCACCCTGTACAGGATCTTATAAGGATTAAATGAGTTCATACTTGTAAATGGCTAAGAAGACTGCCAGACACACAGCCAGCCTGCAATAGTGACGTTAGCTATTTTCAGTTATTCAACTTTCCGGCCAGGCATTGTACCAGGTGCTTTGATCCTCGTCACAACCGTAAGGCAGACCCCTCAGACCCCTCAGGATTCAGGGAACAGAGCTTAACTCTGGATTGAGTTCTAGACAGTTATTTCTTCCATACCCTGAATGCAGAAGGGAACATAGCTTGAGTGATTATTTTATCTTAGGCACTGGGCTCAGACCTTTATATTTGTAGCTCCTTCTCTTCTCCCAATAATCCCACAAGGGACAGATTGCTTCCCTCTATGTTACGGATAAAGGATATGAGGCTCAGAGACATTTAAGTGACTTGTCTAAGGTCAAAGAACAGATTTCTGTAGGATGTTTGTCTACCTGAGCTGGAAGTAGCAGATTACTTTATTCTGAAGACCCTCATGCTGGTGAGCACACACCTCTTCAGGGCCTCCGTTCTATTCCCTTCTAACCCAAGCCCAAGGAGAACCCTTTGGGGGAATGGACTCCACTCCATGGAAGAGAGGATGCTGGCTGGTGGTTTGTTGTCCCATGAAAGGCGACACCTGCTGGACACAGAAAGCTAGGGTGTGGAATTATTTTTGGAATTAAGAGTTAGGTACTAGAATTTGGGTAAGAAAAAGAAACCAGAAATGAGTTGATCTGGAACACATCCATAGTTTCTTCAGACAGATCCTTGGAAATAGAGCATCTCTTCTGGAAGGGGTTAAGAGAAGTCAGTGGAAGGAAGTTAATGTCTATATTTTACCATTTTTATGCTTCATATTCATTTTTTTCTATTCATTGTTTCTGTTTTCATTTTTGTTCGTTTGACAAAGCAAACTCCTTTTTCAATTCTAGTTTAGTCTAGGAATGGGGCTTTGGGCCTTGTCTATAACTGGGCAGTTTTATTTATTATTTTTATTTTATTTATTTATTTTTTTTCGAGATAGTGTTTTGCTCTTGTTGCCCAGGCTGGAGTGCGATGGTGCAATCTCGGCTTATTGCAACTTCCGCCTCCCGGGTTCAAGCGATTCTCCTGCCTCAGCCTCCCAAGTAGCTGAGATTACAGGCGTGCACTACCACGCCTGGCTAATTTTGTATATTCTTAGTAGAGATGCGGTTTCACCATGTTGGTCAGGCTGGTCTCGATCTCTTGACCTCAAGTGATCCACCTGCCTCGGCTCCCAAAGTGCTGGGATTACAGGCGTGAGCCACCGCACTCGGCCTATTTGGACAGTTTTAAAGGACAAGCTGCAGATCTGAAGGGTCTAGTTCTAGTCACAGCAGTGGGAATCAAAGTGACAGGACCCCAGAGGAAGGAAGTAGAGAGTTAGCTAACGGGACGGCTTCCAGTTCCTTTTCTAGAGATTCCCAGTGCAGGCTTTTCTCTGCCCTAACTTTGCAGGTTTTTTGTTATATAGGAAAGACTGTCCCATTCCATTTAAGGAATAGGGAAAAGTATATGTAGGTCTCCTACGATGCAGAAAGTCAGAATACTATAGGTAGAAAGAGGAGTCTTTACACGGGGGAATGAGTGGTACTTGAAAGGAAGGTGGAAGAAGGGTAATGGCGGACCAAATTGTAGGAGGATGAGGAGAGGAAAATGGATGCCGCATGAAGAGAATGGAATGTCAAACATAATGGATTGCCAAAAAAGGAGTGCATGCGTGTGTGTGTGTGTGTGTGTGTGTGCACGCACTTGAGCACATGTGAGAGAAAGGAAAAAAAGAGAAGGAGTGGAAGAGAGTAGGAGAGAGGGAGAAAAGGGGTGAGAGGAGAGAAGTGGAGTAGGAGAAAGAAGGAGAGAGACGTAGAGGGAGTGAGGGAAGGGAAGGAGGGAAGAGAGAGAGAGCTGGACTTTTGGGTTATACATAATCCAAGCTGCACAAAGAATTGTTTTTTCCCTTCCATGTCTTGTTGTTTTAAAAGCTGAACTTGGAGCTAGAATTGGTTTTAAAGATCATCTAGTCCCACTCCCCTCCCGTGAAAGAACTGGGCCTGTGTTAAGGAGGGCACACACAGTGCAGGGAGTTCCTCCAACACTTGGGGCAGATAACAATATTTTAGAGAAATGTGTTGACCCCATATTTGAGCTTCTTCTATTGACCATTAAAGACAGTGAGAATAAATCTCAAATACACCATGGGAGGTGGTATCCTTGGCATTTTTTTTTCCCTGAGGGAGAGTATGCTCCTGGGTTCCAGGTTCTCTTTGCCTCCCTGCCCATGCACACATGCATGTGAAAGAAACGGACAAGATTGACATTTAATCCCAGTGTCTACTTATGAAAATTATCTTTAGGCCATTTTCTCAAGTTTTTCTGTTTCCACAGTAAAATCGGGCAAATCAGATGCAAATGAGGGTGGAGTTCAACCCCATCCTCAAAGCCTTTTTTTTTTTGGCTTGAGTGTCTGTCATTCCCAAGAGCCCTCCAACTGCCTTGAAGCAAGGCATGGGGGATTTCTCCATGATGCTTTCTGCCACTACTTGGCCAGACCAGTCTCCAGGGGTTTCAGAGAGTGGAGAGGCCCCAAACCTATGGAGACTACTCCCAGATGGGGGGGCTCCTTGTTTCTCCAGACCCTTCCTCTTCCATTTCATATGAGGCTTCTAAGAGGCCCCTGGCCACGCTGGTCTGGGGCAGGGAATAAAGAAATGGCTTTTATTGTATCAGAGTCTCAACAGAAAACAGATGGCATACTCCAAGTAGGACATTTCAAGGAGAGTTTATTCATTAGGAAAGTATTTACAAAGAAGTAGGTGGAGGATAGCTGTTACTACCCCAAGGTCCAAAGAGGCCAGGGACAGAAGGGGTTATCAGGACTCAGAAGGACGGCAAGCCCTGTACAGTCACCACCTTGCCAAGAGCAGTGCCCTTCAGTCAAGGGGCACAACAGCTTAAGGTGACCTTGTAGGGAGGAAGCCAAGGGATTAGAAACACTGACCTCACTCCCCTCCTCCCTCTGCTCTTAGGCTGATGCTGGAAGCAAGAAGCAGCCAGGGAGCATGGGAGGCAGTTAATGCCATGCAGGTCAGCGCCTGAGGCAGAACCCAGGTGCAGAAGTATTGAGAGTGGGTCCAGAAGCACAGATGGAGGACAGGAAGCACGTTCACAACAAGAAGGAAAAATGTCAATGTTGCGGGGTGGAGAGAAAGGTGCAAAAATTGGGCTTCTTTTGGCCTTGGACAACGACGAACGCATAGTAGCAACAGAAACTAAGTTTGCAGTTTCCTACTGGGGAATTTGGGAGGACACTCGCTTCTGTTCTGTCTTTCCCACTTGAAGTTTGACTGTGGTTATACTGAATTTATAGAAAATTTGGGGTTAACTGACTTGTTTTTATTACTAAATCATACCATGCAAAAACAGACTGTTTTCTCATTTATTCAAATCATTTTGTTTGCTCTTTATTATGGTTTTTAAATTTTACTTTTTCATAGTAGTCCTGAGTATGCTCAGTTAATTCTTAGACATGTTATAGCTTTTGCTGCTATTGTGATTGGTATCTTATTGCAATTCTACTTTTGAATCAGTAATTTCTGACGTAGAAGAATGTACCCAATCTAAGTGTACTGCTCAGCAATGTTAAGTATATTCACATTTTTGTGCAACCAATCTCTAGAACTCTTTTTCACCTTGCAAAACCAGAACTCTACACCCATTAAACAACAGCTCCTCATTTCTCTCTTCCTCTAGCCCCTGGCTACCATCACTCTACTTTCTGCTTCTATGAATCTGACTACTTTAGATACCTTGTACAAGTGCAATCACCGAGTTTTTGTCTTTTGGCGATTGGCTTATTTCACTTAGCATAATGTCCTTAAAATTCATACTTGTTGCAGCATGTAAGAGTATTTCCTTCCTTTTTAGGCCGAATGATAAGCCACTGTATGTATATGCCATATTTTGTTTGCCCACTCGTCTGTCTATGGACATTTTTGTTGCTTCCACCTCTTGGCTATTGAGAATAGTGCTGCTATGAATATGGAGGGAAATACCTGCTTAAGTCTCTGCTTTCAATTCTTTTGCATATATACCCAGAAGTGGGACTCTTGGGTCATATAGTAGTTTTATTATTAATTTTTTAAGGAACTGCTATACTGTTTCCCATAGCAGTTACACATTTTACAATCCCACAAACATTGCATATAAAGGTTCTAATGTCTCTACATCCTCACCAACCCTTCCTTCCTTCCTTCTTTCCTTTCCTCCTTCATTTGCTCCCTCCTTCAGTCCTTCTCTTCTTTCCTTTTTCCTTTCATTTTTATAGTAGCCATGCTAATGAGTGTTAGATGATGTTATGGTTTTAATTTGCACTTCTCTAATAATAAGTAATGCTGAGCATCTTTTCATATGTGTGTTTGCCACTTGTATATCATCTTTGGAAAAATGTCTATTGAAGTTCGTTGTCCCCTTTTTAATTGTTTGTATAAACAATTGTTGTTGGGTTTTATGAGTTCTTTATATATTCTGGATATTAACCCTTTATTTGATATATGATATTCAAATATTGATATATGTTTTCAAGTATTAGAAATTAATCAATTTTTGTAGGTTGATCTTAAATGGGACAACCTTGCAGGATTCTCTTATTGGTTTTAGTGGGGTTTTTGTTGTTGTTGTTGTCGTTGTTGTTATTGATATTCTCTCTGTCTCTCTCTTTTTCCAGGTAGATAATAGTATC